AAAAAAAAAGAGGAAGGAATGCCTGCATTTATTGGTAAAAGAAGTATCAGATGCATGTCACATCAGGGGAAAATCATTTTGCCTTTTTCTGTTGATCAGAGAGCTCATGAAGAGATGAGATTGTCAAACTGAATAATCTAAAGAGATTCCTTGGTGACTTAACATGAAGCGAATGTCTAGATATGAGAGAGGTGAGTATTTCAAAATAGAGTGAAGAGTTGAACAGAGGAGAAGGAAGAAATGATTGTCCTAAATGGACTTGAATATGCCTGGAAGGATAGGATTGCGGTAGACAAGATGTGTGGGACTAGGCAGTTCTGAGAAGTAAAATGGTGTGAGGCAATGCCCTTTTGCTGAACTCTCTAGACTTGGCCTTCCTCATGGAGGGTATCCCAAAGGTCTAGGAAAAGTCTTCCCTCTGGTATCTGAGCACTTGTTTATCTTGAATTTTTCATGGTATTTTCAGTTAGTTTGAGTCAACCTGCTCCTCTGTTCTTTTCTATAATCTTCCTGAGCCTGTTTAGGGTTATCTGACAACTAAACTAGCCCTGGGGACAGGTGCTCAGTAAAAAAGAGACCATATACAATCGCTTACTTTCTAGCAGTATTTAAGGAGCTTTCTCTTGGGCTGACCTGGTGAGCCACTGCCATCTTCAAGTGCCGATTTGGGGTAAGTTGGCCAGACTCTCTCCCAGTTTGGACCATATTCTCCGTGACCTTGCCCACTCCTGTAACGGTTTGGACTTTCTTGTCAAAATGATATTTTGTTTTTGTTATGCTAAACTTGGTCCAGGGACTTTTTTGCTCTTACATTGTGCTCCACGATCAACTGGGAATTTTAAAAAAAGGGGTTAAGGGGCGCCTGGGTGGCGCAGTCGGTTAAGCGTCCGACTTCAGCCAGGTCACGATCTCGCGGTCCGTGAGTTCGAGCCCCGCGTCAGGCTCTGGGCTGATGGCTCGGAGCCTGGAGCCTGTTTCCGATTCTGTGTCTCCCTCTCTCTCTGCCCCTCCCCCGTTCATGCTCTGTCTCTCTCTGTCCCAAAAATAAATAAACGTTGAAAAAAAAAATTAAAAAAAAAATAAAAAAATAAAAAAAAATAAAAAAGGGGTTAGGAAGAAAGCTTAACTTCTTACAAAGTCTTTGAATCTGTCAACTCAGCAGGAAGAAAGGGATAAGCTGATCTGAAATGGGATAACCAGCTAAACACATACACGTATATATATCTATATTTGTATCAAAAAAGTTTCAAGATGACAATATATATTTCTTGCCTTTAGTTGTCCTTAAACTAAGAAGAGAGTTTGGTACTGGTATTTGCTGTTTGGATTCATCCTGGCTCCTGACCTAATTTCCAGCTGTGACTTTTCAGGCAAATTACTCAACCACTCTTCTCTCTCTCTATATGTGTTTGTATGGGGTGGGCTTACACAGCATCTTAGATTGACTATGGAGATTAAATAAATGCATGTAAAGCACTTAAGTAGTAAAGGAATAAATGTTTGATTATGACTATGATCATGGATATTATTATAATGCTTATGATTGAGTTAGCCTTGGTCTGAGGTCCTCAGGTATTGAGCTATGGGCTTATGGGCAACTATCCTTCAAATTTCAGAGCACGCTGGGAATGTTAGCCATGGGCAGAGTTTCTGCTTTGCCATATTCCATGAAAGCCTAGAGGCTAAGGAGGCCCCAAGAGTCCAAGTGATGACTGATAGTACAGAGATGTTTATGGTAGTCTCAGCCTACGAATTCCAAGTTCTACTAATTCCGCAGGTGATCTTTTCAAAGAGAACTCATATTGAAAATTTCCTGCATCTGCTCATATAGTCTTTTCAGCGAAACCCTGTATGTTTTAGGAGATAATACTTTTTTGAAGAATAATTATTCATAAGTAGAGTGGATAAGTTTTTTTCCTCTTCCTGATTACAAATGGTATCCAAGTGGCTTTTGATTTGCTAGATAATATTTTATAGACTGCAAAGTTATAGAATTTAGCAAGTAGCCACACATTTCCATTGGGTATTTCCAAACACATGTGAGAAAATCGGAAAGTTGGGTGCCCTGTATATGGATTTCCATTGAAATTTATGGCAGTTCCTGGGCATAATCACATCAACACATATCCATAGATAGTTTACCATGTTAACTAACTGTGGTTTTGGATTTAATTGCCAACTTTTACTCTAATAGTAATTCCAGACGGGAATAACAGAATGAAGGGACCTGCCCAGGTTGTTACCACTGCATATAAAACAAGTAAGATCCTTAGGGTTTAATTAGAGGACTCATAATTATACCCGAAGCATGCTAGTGTTAAAATATGAACACTGGACATCTGGAAGATGAGTCTGGATTTGGTCACTTGCCTTTAGGAATCTAAATCCATGAAACTGTGAGCGTCCAAAGAAGCAGTGATGCTCACACCTGGGGCTTGTGCACAGGCAGAAACGACAAAGGTGAATGTGAGTTGGTCTGCAAAGCAGAATAATTCAGAAAAGATAAATAGAAAATTATTCAAAATCACAAGGAATCCAAAATGATGACTGGCTTCTTCAGCCCTACCATGAACAGACGTGATTTAAAAGGAAGAGTAGGCACCTGAAAAATATGTTCTTCCTTCATAAAACCTTATGGAACACATGGCCTCTGGGACTCACGTCACACAGGATTCCTGCTGGTATCAGTCTTTTAGGAAAAGAATGACTGAAAGACCAACCTCTGGTTACACAGGCTCAGTGGAAAGGGTCTGAGAAGGAGGATGTATGGCGAAAGGCATAAAATAGCTTTGATAGTATCGTGTATCATTTTCTCAGCTCTCTTCTCTCCCACCAGTGCCAAAGAGTTATGTGTCTGTTTGTACATATACATATATATGCATACACATCAAACACATGTTTATGCGCGCATATATGTGCATATATATGTATATATATACATATATATTCCATTCTCTCAAGTGCGTTAGAAATGTTAAAAAGAGAGAGTTAAGGCACTTTTTTCCATTTTTTTCTTCCAAAGTTATGAAAAGAAGGGTTTTTTGTTTGTTCCTGATAAGATTTTAGGAATAACGTTGAGAAAACTGCTCCTATACTTTATAGCAGATTCCATCTCAAATTAGTTTTTGTGTGTGTGTGGTTTAGGAATAAAATTTCAGGCTTCTTGGCATAGTTTCCATTCTGTCTCTTTCTCCATAAAAAGATTATTTCATTGTCTCCAAGTTACAAGGAATCCACTCTACATGGTACAGCAAAATTTAAATTATACAATTGGGATTACTCTAGAGTAAAACTCCTTAAAAACAGAGAGCACAGCTTAAGTGTATGGTCTAGAGGCAAGAGTAAATGGAGTGGAAAGTAGTAAAAGGTTGGGTTAGAAGGCTTAATACTTAGGATCTGGCAGGCCGTTGCAGGTACCTACTCCTTGGGAGACACCGATGGACAAGGCAGGCGTGTGTCGAGTGAAGCAATTCATGAATACTCAGCCATGAAATGGAAAATCCAAATGAAATAAGGACCACGGTAACTATCTTGGTCTATTAATATTTAAATATTAATACCTACTTTTCTTTGCGAGACGTTACTGAATATTTATTGACGAGAAAAAAAAATGAGAGTTTGGGAAGAAGAACATGTTTGAGAACTGCATTTAAACAGAGTTTCAATGACATGTGGTCTTCTTAACTCAAATAGTCAACCAATTAAAATAAGTTCCCATCCAAACGTGTCTTCAAATTTAGGGTCCGCTGGAAAAAATTTCCAAAATGCATTACAACTTTCGATAGGGGTGACACATGGTCCTGTTTTCCCAAAACTTGGATTTAATATTTGAATGCAATGGTATTTGACTGTGTTAGGATAGAATATTTGAACTTAAAAAGAAAACTCCTGAATTTGTTTATGCATAAGCCTATTAAAAATGTTTCTAGGGGCTCTTGTTTTGTTTATTCTTTAGAATATAACCTATCTTTGAAGTGGTATAGGCGTTTTTAAAAAGTCATTCCTAAGCTAAGTAATTAGACTGGAAACAAAAGTTATTCTTAGAGTACATTCCACATATAAAGCTATGCACACGATGCTTTGATTCAAATAATACTCTTATAAAACTTTGTTATTGTTTGAGGCCCATATTCAGAGTGGCAACTTTTGTTTTTGATGATTATTCCATCCTGAAACAATTTCCCCCCTGCCCAATTAAACCAGAAATTAGGAGCACATTTATATCTGATGAGACTTAAACTTCTCAACCGCCTGCTTCAGAAGCGAGGACCTTTAGTGGTTATGTTCATTTTGTCTCTGCACAGAGGGCTCAGAAGAAAACAGAATCAATTCCCCTAACTTTTTCTGGAAGAGGAAGGTTGTTTTTGTTGCTTTGATCTTAGCATGTTGTGCATTTTTTATTGGCTGTTGAATATAAAAAGCCATAGCCTCATCTGGTTTTTCTGCTATATTCTCATATTGTAAATCACATAATGCCTTCCAATCTAAACTTAAATGCCTAGGTCCAAAATATTATTTCAAAATGGATTTATCATTGCAGTTGATAGAAAGATTTCCAGGGTGTAAGAAAACTCTCCAAGGTTCGAGAAATATGTCACAGACTGCTAAAAATATATCCATGCACTTTAGACAACAAATTCCAGGATGTAGACATATACTCATGCTATTTTAGATCCCTTTTTCTATCATTGCAAGAGGCTGTTGAAGCTAATGTAGCAGCTGGCTAGGTTATTGCTTCTATAATATAATCCATAATGCAAAAGCAGCTATTTTCCAAACATTCTAGAGCAACTCAACTTGTTTACATGTCTCTGTAAGGTAATTTTCCTATAACTTTGTGCCAATTGGTGTCATACTATTTGGTAAAAATCTTCATTAAATCAAGACAACTACACTTGGTTAAATTCTCTCTCATACAGAGAACTGCAGGAAAATTACAGTTAGCTGATTTGAGGCCATCATCATGAAGTAACTACAGGGTTTTAGAAGATTAATGCAAACTACAAAAATGGAGTTGTATAATTAAACATCAAATAGTCCAAGTCATAAAAGTCATAGATTAATTGTCTCTCAGTTCGAGTCAGATCCTTTAAATATTGTCTCACGACCTGAGCATTGGTTCTTTCATCAGAAGAGTGCCTATCCTTAAAGTTTGGAAATTTCAGCTCTTTTGGAGCACCAATCAGCTGCAAAAAGTAATTGGCATCTTCTTCCAAAGTTTCGAATTTCCCTACAAAATCATAGTTGATTAAACACGGATAGCAGAGTTTGCTGACCTTTTCCCAGTGAATGTCCATTCCTACTGGACGGTGGGAATCCAGCAAATAGTGCACGAACTCTTTGAATTTGACCCCAGATCCATTATTTAATGCTTCTTCACAGGCATTTGGCCGATATTTCTTTATAATTGCCTTCCCAAATACTGGATGGTAATAGCTATTGGGGTGTTCAAATTTGTCCCTAAATGCTGACACTAATCTTTCCATGGGATCACGAACAAAAACAGCTTTGGTGTAGGTATTCAAACGAGTATATATCCCTTTTAAGTCAAAGCTATCTAGTTTTTTCAAATGCTTCCCGTAGTGAACAGCATCATGGGAGATGTTGTACGCAGAGGAAGCCAACCCACTTAGCACCATCAGAATTCTCTTCCAGTTGGAGCAGCCAGCCTTGGGTACTTCACAATATAAGATTTTGTGTTTATCTTCCACATAGATCCTGGATACCATATGAAAAAGATGTGATTGAGGACGACTCACCCCGCCATATTTTTTGCAAGACTCCTGAAGGAAAGACCTGCGTTTCTCTTGGGCCACATCCGTTTCCTTCCATTTGTTGTCTTTGATTAAACTTTTATTTAAAGGGTGTATGTCCAATGGCCACTTTATTTCACTGAACTTCTTGAAAACAGTCCTAGTTCCTTGATGTTTTGCAATCAGCTTAATTGTTGGTGGCCCTGTGGTCTTCCCCAAAACTCGATCCTCTCCTTGTGAGTGGCTGGTCTTTGTGAAGACCCTCATTGGCCTCTCAGAGTTGAGCAGAAGATTTTCCTTTTTTCCCTTGGGATCCTCAGTGATGTGGAACTTGAGGTTCTGTTAAAATAGAGAAGGAGAAATGTTGAAAGCGCATTCACAAACGTGAGTATACGAGGATCTGAACATATTTGTTTTACAATACTATCGAGGAGAGCACATTTCATATAAGCTGCCAGAACAGTTTAGCAAACCATGCTGAATACACATTTTGTAGTAAGTTTCTTCAGAGAAAATCTAACAATGAAAAATGGTATCCAAGCATCATTTTGAGCCAAAGTTTCACATTTTATATTATACATATTTGGTTACTTACATGTTATCATTTATTTAGTGTTAATGTGCTGCATTATATTAATAGATTTTCTCAAGCTAAATTATCTTGAGTATTATTTGGCTAAACCTACTAGTATTGATTTGAGTATGATCATAGTAAGTTGGTTATTGTTTTCTGTACTATCTTTGTTAACTATGGTTATCAATTATACAACCTTACAAGGTACACACACACACACACACACTGGCCACAAGATGGAAAGGAGGGTGTCCTGAATTTTCATTTTAGCTTTGTCTGTAACACATTAGAATGTACTTCATCATCCTGTAGGTCAATGATTTTTGAGCTATTCAGGAATGTGTTACCTTCAAGCATTAATTAATTAGTGCATCTGAATGTAGATACAGAATGTAGCTGCTTTTGGGGTATTCTGTGATGCACGGAAGAGTTTAAAGTCACAAATTACAACTTAAGATTGCAGCAAGGCAAATTATAAAATCCTCATGACCATTTCAGTTTTTCAAGCACTTGCAAAAGGAGACATTTTTTCCCTTGGAAAATGTTTTATTTCAGAATATTCATTTATCATAATAATTTAGTAATTATAACCATACAATTTCATTCGTGTATGAAAACTTTGTCTTTTTCAAAAGTCTAATTGATGTCCTGCTACATAAAATTGTATGAAAAGTAGAACAAGAATTTAGTTCTCATGTCAGTGGGATGAATCAGCCTACCAACCATCTACTGTTCATCTGACTACGTCTTCCTACAGCTCTTGCAATGACTGCAGAAGGGAATACATGGAAGACAGGACTTACAAGATGGAATCCTCTCCTAGAGATAAAATTGTAAGGACTTTGGCTTTTACTGTGGGTAAACTAGGGGGACTTTGAAGGGCTTTCAGCAGGAAGTAACATGATCTCACTTACACTTGAAAAGGATGGTTGAGGAGAAGACTGGCCTGGAAATATACACACAGAATCGTCAGCATGTTATTGGAAAAACCAATCAACAAATGGTGTGCTGTGGGAATAATAAATGGGGCCACCAGCCTAGTGTTGGAAGAAGTGGTGGGAGAAGTTCCCTAGAGGAGGATATCTATCTATCTATCTATCTATCTATCAACATCCATCCATCCATCCATCCATCCATCCATCCATCCACTGTATCCCCAGTGTCTAGAATGGCCTGGAGCCTATAGTAATTGCTCTCACATATTTATTGAGTGAACAAATGAATAAATGGAATGAAATCTTCTAGAATTAGTAATATTCTAGCAAATTGAGCAAAAGAGCAGAGAAATAGTTTGCACTGTGGATGGAAGCCACCTCAAAGCATCATGGTCCTTCTACTAGCTAGGCTTTAAGTGGGGTGGGGGTGGGAATTGCTTCTTTCTAGTGCAAGAAGATTGTGTGAGTAACCCCTGATCACCATACACCAACTTGGGTAGCCCCATAAAACAGCTGCCCAAATCTTCCATAGCATTGAGCCAACTGTTTGGTGTTTCAAGTGTAAAACCATTTGTCTTCTGTCATACTGGAGACTGCCAGGATGACTTCAAAGCCCTGAATCCATCTTTACTCTGATCAATTACCTGTAGTCCATTAAATTTTCACAGATGATCTGAAATTTGACTTGAGCTTTGGAAGATCATGGGGTTATTGGTTGACTGCATGGGAAGTACTTAGTACAACGCCTGAAATAAAATTGCCAATATATTTTTGCAGCTACTTCTTCTACTATTACAACTGTAAATAATAATTGCTATTATTAATATTTTATAGTGCAGTAATAATGTTTTATCCCATTGGCCTAGTGAATTTCAAGGTTCCCCAGTTGTCCATTATTATCCAGACTATAATTTGTGTGTCTCTAGATGTACCTTAATTAGTTCCCTCCCCGCCCCATTGACAAGAACAAAAACAAAATCAGCTTTCCACTGTGCCCTCTGGACCTTCTGTTTGTGGTCATCAAATTCCCCTTTAAACTCTGGAGACTTCTGGAATGTTTGTTTCCCAGGACTTTCTCTACATGGAACCTGGCTGGCCCCCAAGATTCTGCTGCCCTTGCACTTTCTCAAGTAGACAAAACTTTATTTCCTTGAACCACTTGTCCCTCCAGCCAGAAGTCAGGGCACTATTTCCCTGCAATTCACTGCTGCTTCCAGGACATGTCCCTTGGCAAAAGCTTCTGCTTCTGTCAAGCACACGTGTCCTACTGAGCCTCCCTTCTCCCTCCTCATGCTGTCGTCTGCCTGTACCCTTGTCCTTTCTGCTTCATGCACTGAAGACTTTAGCTTCTAGCTCAGACTTTGCTTCTCATACCCCTTCTTGTCATTGTGTGTGGTGACTCTGACACCCAATAAACTCTCAGTTCCTTGACCACCTCGCCTTTAATAGAGGTGTTATTCATTTCTCATAGACCGTGTCATCACCAGTGCCTGTGCCACCTCCATCATCTCTCTGACCACCATCCTTTAACCTTCCAGCTCATTGCAACTTCCATTTTTTCAGTTCTTTGACCACTTCTCACCATGTTATTCAAGCTCTTAGTAGCCAGAATGCCTGGTTCTTCCATTTGCTCTTAGAAAGTCACTACTGCAGGGAGGTTTTTCCTGTCCACCTTGTCTAAATTATGTTCTCTTCTGAGATTCTCTCCCATGTAAGGTTCCCAAATAAGAACTCTGCTTACTTTCCTCATTGCATTTATTGCAATGCGAAATGCTTTTATTTACTTACTTCTGTGTTGTCTCCCCCCACCCCCCGCCCCACTCCCACCTCTTGCACTAGAACATGACCACAGAGGTCTTATTTTTTTTGTTCTCTTTTGGATCTCTGGTACGTAACATGTTGCCTGGCACATAGAAAACGGTCAACCAATAATTGTTGATTAAGTGCAATTTTTAAAGACCACAGGTGGATTGTTTATTTCAAGATACAGCACAAAATGAATCTGTGTATCTATTAACAGGATTTACTTACACAATTGTACTACATTTCACCAGCCTTCGTGCCATATTTAATGAAATAAAAAAATAAATTCACAAAACTGTCTAGCATGGTGTTCTTTCCCGTGTCACCTTATGGTTTTTTTTAAGCTCCTCCTAAACATTCATAGTGGTTATACCTTGACTGTATCAAGATTATAATTTCTTCTTTTTTTAAATAGAAGGGACTAGTGTCAGCTTGTTTGTCATTGCAAATAGGAAAAACAGTGTGTGTAAGACGACTCCTTGCACATAACCAGGACATCCTTCTCATGTACACAAAATCAGAGTTTTACATGCACAAATAGTCACTTTAAAATACAATCATTTTTACTTGGAATATTTTAGATTTTCTTCAAATACCAAGTGGAAGGAGAAATTCAGCATCTTTTTCATGAAATTAAACATCAGCTAGTGCCTCAGACAATATGGTATTCAGAAATTTTATATTTTCATTTATATTGGAGAGCAATGACTGAGGAAAAAGCTTTTCATGGAAATAGAAGTTTCTTCTGCTTTATTTCTTGCAGTAAATGTGCTTTTAACTAAATGATGGGCTTTCAAATAATTGTTTTATAACCTTGTCAAAGAAAAAGTGTTAATCAAAAGGTCAAGGTTAACTTAGATAAATAATTTACCAATTCTTGTCAAGGTGCTGAAAATCTCTATTCAAACAAATCTTTGGCAGAAGAGAACACAAATAATATAGGTACACGTAGAGCTGCTCATGCTAAAGTAGGCAAGGAGGGCTCGGAGCCTTATCTGCCTGCCAAATCAGATTGGTTCAAAGTCACTCAAGGCTGCCTGGGAACCTCTGGAGGCTTGCCAGCAATCTGCTTCCCAGGCCTCCCAGGCCTCACTGTGGACACTCGGGAGCAGAATCTCTGGAAGTGGGGCTCTTGACTCTACCTTAAACAAGCTCCCCAGGCACTCTGCAGGCAGTAATGGCATTTGGGGGACCACTCAAGAGAGTATTGCAAACGAAAGTAAAAAAATACAAGCTCATCTCATACCATCTAGGGGAGAAGGACATCAAATATGGCGGGTGTGAATATTTTAGTAAGTAGAGACAAATACTCTGCTATGGGTAGGGATGTCACATGAGCCCTCACAACACACCTGATGAGATACCTTACATGTTTATCCACTTCCCTTTGCTGGAAGTCCATGTTCTTCAAGCTACTTTCTAATGACTAGTTCAGCTAGGGAGATAACTACCTGAGGAAAAGTTTCATTGCTCATAAATGAGACTTCAATCTCCTGATAGTGTATTTAGTACTAGTCAGTTTCCTCAGCTATGATTAAATCAAGAGATGGGCTAAGGGTTCATTCTAAGTAGTGACACCCCAGGAGACTTCTTGTTGGATGGTCACTAGACCTTCTTCTAGCATGTCTTAGCCCACCATCACTCACCTTATGAAAACCATTATAGGGTGTGGTGGCCTCCCTCCCTCCCCACCCCATCCCCATTCCATTTTCTTCAATCACAGAAAAGACTTTCCATGACGGAAGGGTTCGGATTACTAAAATCAAGATGAACAGTATTATATTGTATTAAATTATTATTTTTAATTAAGTTTTTGATTTTAATTCCAATATAATTGACATACTGTATTATCTTAATTTCAGGTGTATAATATAGTGATTCAACAGTTCTATACGTTACTCAGTGTTCAACATGGTAAGTATACTCTTAATACCCATCACTTGTTTCACTCATCTCCCCACCCCCCTCCCCTCTGGTAAACATCAGAGTGTTTTCTGTAGCTAAGCATCCATTTTTTGGTTTGTCTT